CGGAGCCGGAGGTTGCCGGGCGGAGGAGGGAGGAAGTGCCGGGGGCAGGGCTGAGGCGGAAAACGCGCCCGGGTCGGAGGGCCGGCTGGCTCTCTGTACACAAGCGGCTCTCGTGGGGCCCGTTTTCACACAGGGCAAGATCGGACCCCCCAGGTGCTGGGGAGGGTCGTAAGTTTTTGTGAGCTTCCTCCAGGGAGGTCGATGTGCAACTCTGAGAATCCTGAACTTGGAAATCATTTGCTCTGCGTTTCAGGTCTAACCCCTACATTTTTCGGAGATGGAACAAGTAGATGCCTGTGATTTAGGATTGAAGCCCTGTAGAGTCTGTTACTCCGATTTGAACACAAACTGAAGACTGAGTTATGAGAAAGTGAGCAACAGCCCTTTCCCTGACCCCCAAGAGACTACTGAAATTTCTAGAATTTATTTGCAACTGGAGTATTCTGTTAAACAATGCTTGTAATCGTAATAGAACCTAAATGCAGCACTGTGAAGATGTAATACAAGTAATTCCAAGCTGCGTTTCCTGATACTGTCATGTCTGTTTTGGTTAGACTAAGATTTTAGTTAGCTGCTGCTCAGTAAAACTTTAACTGAACGCAGGTTCAGCTGCCTGCCATAACTAAAGCCAATCTGGTGAGGCAGGTGTTTGTGAAAAATAAAGTGGTTTATTGAAGTGCCAGTAACTGAGAAAGTGGGGGGACTCTCCTCCCAAAGCCCATCTTTACATCTCAGTGCAGGTAGGGGTTTTTATTAGGAGGGAGAGGGAAAGTAGAACAAAGAAATCAGGGGGAGGGTGTTTGAAAGTTCTCTCTGTGTAAGTCAGCCTGGTCCATTCCTATGGTTATCTTGAAATTGATCAAGCATAAGTCCATTTTTTTTTTAACTTTTTCTTTTTTTCATACGTTTTTATTGATTTTAGAGAGAGAGAAAGGGAAGGGGGAGAGAGAGAGACAAACATCAATCAGTTGCCTCAGTGACACAACCCAGCTGGGGATGGAACCTGCAATCTGGGCATGTGCCCTGACCAGAATCAAACCAGCAATCTTTTGGTACATAGGATGACACTCAACCAACTAAGCCACACTGATTAGGGTTTAACTTTCTTTTTTAATCCTCACCTGAGGATTTTTTTAAAAATTTATTTTTAGAGTCAAAGGAAGGGAGAGAGAGAGAAACATTGATGTGAGAGAAACATCAATGTAAAAGAAACATCAATCTGCTTCCTCCCATATGCACCCTGACCAGGGATAGAACCCGAAACCTAGGTGTGTGCCCTGACCAGGAATTAAACCCGCAACCCCATGGAGTGCATGGAACGACACTCCAACCAACTGAGCCACTCAGCCAGGACAGCAACAGTTGGGTTTTTATGCTTGAGAGTCAGCAAGTCTTCTGGAGCCATAATGTCTGATTGCTGGAGTCAGCCTCCTTCCCCAAATGCTAGTTCCTGGAACTCTTACACAAATATGCAGCTTACCCATAGGTTATATATTAGTTAACAGTTCATCTTTTTTATAAAAACACTTTTAATAGAAACAATATTAAAACAATAGAGGAATAGGTTATGAGGTCTCCATGAAGCATACTTCCCTCTTTTATCTTGTGATATGTTATAAAGCAAATAATATTTCTAGTACTATAAATACTAAAGGATGTAAAAAATATTTTGTTCTCCCAGATTTTATACCTTGAAAGTTATGCTGGTGTCAAAGTTGACAGTAACTTCAAGGCATTAAAGTGAATCAAATTCAGCTTGTTTTGAAGAGATCCTGCTTAAGATAGTTAGGCTTTCAAAGGAAATTTGGATTGTTCACACACAAGACCATAACTCAAAGCCTTTCCCCTTCCTGCCATCTCTACAGCTCAGCACAAATTTCATGTCCTCTAGAAATCTTTCTTGATCACATCAGCTGGCAATGATTTCTTCTGTTATGCCATTTTGCTTGTAACACATCTATTAGTTTCCTAAGGCTGCCATAACAAAGTACCACAAACTGGATGGCTTAACACAACAGAAATTTATTGTGGTGGTGCCCTGAACTGGCAGTGGAGAAGGTGATAAGGAAGCTATAGGACTTCAGATCAACTTTGATGCACCCACTCTGCTCCAAAAATATAGCAATAGTAGATGTAAAAAAAGAAAGGGAGGGAGGAAAGAGGAAGAAAGAGAGAAAGAGAGAAAGAGAGAGGAAGAGAGGAAGAGAGGAAGAGAGAAAGAGAAAGAGAGAGAGAGAGAGAGAGAGAGAGAGAGAGAGAGAGAGAGAGAGAGAAAGAAAGAAAGAAAGAAAGAAAGAAAGAAAAGAAAGAAAGAAAGAGGAAGGAAGAAAGAAAGAAAGAAAGAAAAGAAGAAAAGAAAAGAAAGAAAAGAAAAGAAAAGAAAAGAAAAGACAAATTCAGGCTCAAACTTCCATCTTACCCAGCCCCCAAAAAATGAAACAGAAAAATATTGTACTAATCAACCCCTAGAATCCTGGCTTTTAACAGAAACTGGTGGATATACAGAAGCTCTCTCACCTGGAAATGAACCAAGCTGCCAGCTGGCCTGGTGACTAGATCTATGGTGTCCCCATTGTTACCACCGGCTAGAAACTTCAAAATGCCATTTTAAGTTCTAGTTCTGAACTGAGAGCTGGGGTAAAATAAGGGCAACTAGAGGCAGCTATGAGACCATTAAACAGGTTTAATGGAAAGCATGTAGCAGTCAAGAAAATAGAGAAAACTTCTTCAGTCCAATGGAAGGTAGGAAATGAAAGGGGAAAAGCAACAAAATAGGACTGGAAACAGGAAACACAAAACACCCAAGAGATGAGAATGTTACAACCAGCTAGATCAGTAATTACAGAAAATACATATAAACAGAATAATGCTACATTTTATTTTTTATATAAAGTTGCATGGGAGAAAATTGGAAGCAAAATATTAGCAGCAGCAGTTGCTGTTGTATTTTCCACATTTCTTAAAAAATCATTTTTAAGAATAGGACAATGCCTGGTAAACAGTAATAGGTGGTAATATCATCATTAAAAGTGCAGAGACAGGCCTCTGTCTTGGCTTTCTGCTGCAGTGGGGAGGGATTTTATCACAGCCTTTTGATAAGCTGTAACACAAGAAAAAAACATAAAACCATGTTTTTCATTTCTACTGACAAGAAAAATAATCTTCAAGAACTTCAGAGGGCTGTGTCTTGCTTTAGAAACAAATGAGCCAGGGAAAGTTGCAAGTCTCCATTCTTTAATGATGGGCTCAGAAGAGAGAGGAGGAGTGGGAGCAGTTATGGGGGCAGGGTGAGGAAAAGAGGGGAGTGGGAGCTGCATAGAGAAGCAGAGGCATCACCAAGGCTAGAAGCCCATGTTCCTCACTTCATTAACCTGTCCTGTGAGTCCTGTGCCTCCTTCCCTCACAGGCCTGCCTGCTCTCCTCACACTAACAGTGCTCTCCTCCAACAGTCCTACAAATCCCTTTCTTCCTTAGTCACTCCTCCAGCAAACATTTATTGATTAGTTGTTTTGTGCCAGGTACTAAGCAGGGGCAACAGAGACAAAATCTTGGTTCAGAAATGCTGCTTTTGTTCTTTCTGATACTCTGACTCTACACCAAGCTCAGAGTGAGATTTTGGAAAATCAAATCTGCTTGACACACTTGAATGATTTGAATGCAACCAGCTGGCTTCAAAGGCGCTGGAGTCCTGCTACCTGCAGCCCCTCCTTCAGCACCCCCATCTCTTCAGACTTGCTG